CACACACACACACACACACACACACACACACACACACACACACACACGTATAGGAAAACTCTTCAGCTTACCCTCCATAGGAACTGGAACATTTGCAACCTCATCAGACATATATGACTATCCAGCTCCCCAGAGTATGTTGTCAGCCTTTGGGTTGTGCCAGTCTGCTAGGTGGAAAATGTTATCTCAATGTAATTTTCATGTGTATTTATCAAAGTTGAGTATCTTTTCATTGGTATAAGAGCCATTTGTATTTTCTATTATGTTTTTTGTCCATTTTTCGATCAGGCTTTTGATCTGTCTTCAGTTTCTGGGAACCCTATATATTAGGGAGAATAGTCCTCTGTTATATGAGTTGCAAGCTTATTTTCCCAGTTTTGTCATGTGTTTTTGACTTTGTGTTCCTTACTTCTTTTGGATACAGCATTTCAAACAAATGAAAACAGCTAACTTAATTTGTACTTTTTTTGTCTTTTTATTTTGCTTAGGAACCTGGCTACTGTACCTGCCATGTACTTGGAGCATTGGTCTGGCAGCTGAACCAGGTTGTTTTCCAGATTGGTACATGTTATCCCTCTTTGGCACTGGAGCTGTTCTGATGCGTGGAGCAGGCTGTACTATTAATGACATGTGGGACCAGGACTACGATAAAAAGGTAGATTCGTCCCAGAAGGGAACAGAGAGGCTCCTCTCAATTCTGCAGAGTAAGATGGTGGCATCACTTTTGAATGCCACATAAAGCAACAGGATCATTTAGCGTCCTCACTGAAATCCAGCGTAAGAAGTGCCAGTATCAGTTGAATAGCTGGTGTTGCAAAGTGCGGTGTGCTTCCTTTCTCAACAGAGGAGCGGCCATGGGGGCAAGGTGTGTACATCATTTTTACAAAACGAATTAGAATTTGGAAGGCCAGAGAAAGGATGTTGGGAGTGAAGGTGAAAATTCCATTCTGAACCTTTGGGTGTCTAAAAGAACTGTCATCCCTTCCTTTGAGATATATGTCAGATCTTAATTTAAATGAATCAAGGCAACCCTATTAGCATTTGCTATAATTATTTCTTTTAAAAACATAATTTTATTTTTTTCTCCTTAGAAAAATAATACATGTTTATTCTGAAAAATTCAGACAGTACAAAAATAGAAAGGATAGAAAATGCAAGTCTTCCTTATCACCTCCCCCAAGCCCCCAGAAAAAACTTCATTTAAAGTTTGATACATCATATGTCTCTAGATTATTTTCTATGCATGTTCTAATGCATGTGTGTAATTATTTCTTTGTTCTTCAATAGACCATTATTTTCTCAAGGGAATGGTCTGTCTTGTTTGCCTTTTATTCCAGCAGACATACTATAACAAGTATAAAATCATTAAATGCTTGAGTAAATAATCAAGTAAATGTTCAATTTATAAGAAATCCAGGGTGAATTATGTGAAGTAAATAATCATGTGACACTCACATAAAGTGAATAATCTTCCCTGGTTTGCCTTTCATATAAGTCTTAGTTTTCCTTAAGCAAAGCACACCCATAATGATTTTTAGCTTATAGAACAGTGTCACATTAATAATTTTTAAATTCAAAAACATTTATTGAATACCTACTATCTATGAGACACAGTGACAGGTTCTAGGATTGTGTGGATGAAAGACAACATTGCTGACTTCAGTTTAGTAGCTATCAAGAGATGGTGTCCACAGGGCACTTACTGCAGACCACCTACCTTACCTTAGCATAATGCAGGGGGTTAGAGAGAAGTTTTGATGGGGTGAGGTGGGGTAAGGTGACTTTGGAACTATGACAGACTAAGATGGCAAAAAAAGCCTGGACAGGAGGGTGAAGGTCACTCTAGGCAGAGGAAACAGCAGACACAGAGGCATGGCTGTGAGATAAAATATATTATGCTTGACAACTGCAACTATGTGGTTTGTGTGTGGCTGGAGGGTAGGATAGTGGCAGAGTGGCAGGTGATGCATGTTAAGGCATCTCTATGTCTCGCTGACCATTGGGATGCTTTGATCTATGCCAGGAGATGCGTACTTTCTTGTTTTGGGGGTTTGCACATCCTGGTCAGTTTTTCATCTGCATAACCATATTAATGAGGCTTCTGGCCAGTATCACTTCAAAATAACTATTGAACACATTTAGAGCAGCCTAATGTCAAAATCCTGGTTGTGATATTGTACTGTAAAGTTTTGCAAGATGTTACCCTTGGGGAAAACTAAATAAAGGATACATAGGATCTCTATATTTCTTATAATACAGAGATTTTTTTAAAAAAAATTGCATGTGAATCTACAATTATCTCAAAAGAAGTTTAATTAAAAAATAACATAGGACTTCCCTGGTGGCGCACTGGTTGAGAGTCCGCCTGCCGATGCAGGGGACGCGGGTTCGTGCCCCGGTCCGGGAAGATCCCACATGCCGCGGAGGGGCTGGGCCCGTGAGCCATGGCCGCTGAGCCTGCGCGTCCGGAGCCCGTGCTCCGCAACGGGAGAAGCCACAGCGGTGAGAGGCCCGCGTACCGCCAAAAAAAAATAATAATTAAAAAAAATAACATAATCAAACCAACTAACATTTTCTACTTTTTTAATTAACGAAATAGAGCCATTTTAGTTTTGTCTTAAGTGATTTTTATACTCACTAGATAAAAGGGAACTGATTAGATATCTTACATCTCCCCCATGCCATTTTTCTCTGATTAGAGGAATCTACAGTCTGTGGTGACATACAACAAAGCACTTAAATGAGTATTGTATAGCTATGGTTTTGCTAACATGAATTTTAAAATGTTGTGAGCATCTCTTTTACAGAATGGGTTAAAAACCTTGGTCAAATTGTAATGCTTACCTTACATTTTCTTAAAGACAGTATGTTTATGGCTGAGGGTTTTGCTTAATATGTTAGATGACTAAGTAAATTGCTAACACATTAAGTGGTAAGTGAATTGCTATTAGGTTATTTGGGTTAACTGTGTTTTGTTGATGATGTATGTAATCTGCTAGTCATGCGATAAACATTAGGTCCAATAAACATTGAAATAATATCAATGCACAGGTATTAATGATTTGGTTTTGTAAGCTGTGAGCATTCTAGTTTCATAAAAGCCACATAGAATATGTTTTTTGATCATCATATTGCATCGTTCTTTTTCTTTTGATGGAGTGCTTGTTTTTCACCTCTCGAGTCTAGCCAGGCAATTACCATTGTACTGGAGGGGCAGTGTAATTTTGTGGTTAGTACTGTGGTTGGTGGGACTGGACTGACTGTGCTACCTTAGTATCTGTGACCTTGGAAAGTTACTGAGCCACTCTGCCTCAGTTTCCTAAAACTTAGAAATGGCAAGAACTTGTGAGTGGTTAAAAGAGAGTTGTTACAAGGATTCAATGATGTGATGCATATATAGCTCTTAGATTATTAGCATTCAAATACTGGCAGGAATAATCATAATATCCTAAATCAAATACAAGAACATAAATATTATTCCCACTTGAAGCTACAGGGACCAAATCAAGGATGAGATATCCAGTTCTGGCACTAAGCAAGATGAGTCATTACAGTTTTTGACAAACTGTTTTATTGCACAGTGAAGCATGCTATAAATTGGGTCAGCAAATTTCTTCTGTAAAGGACCAGATAGTAAATATTTTAGGCTTTGTGGACCACACAGTCTTTGTTGCAACTACTGCACTCCGTTACAGCGTGAAAGCAGCCACATACAATATGTAAAAAAATGGGTGTGTCTCTTTCAATAAAATTTTATTTGTGGACACTGAAATTTGAATTTCTTATTTTCATGTGGCACAATACATTACTATTTCTTTGTTTATTTTCAACCACCAAAAAAAGTAAAAACCATTGTTAGCTCATGGTTCCAACCAAAAACAGACAGAAAGCTGGATTTGGCTCACAGGCCATAGTTTGCTAAACCCTTGCTATAAATCATACAAAAATATGTTATATTAATTATAGTTAACATTTATTGCATCAGGCATTGCATTCACTCTGTAAGGTACGTGCTATTATTACGTCTCCCTCTCTTTCTGTTTTTCCTTAAATAGGTAAATAACCTAAGCCTGAGGGAGGTCAAGTAACTTGCCAGAATTCACACAGCCAATAAGTGATGGAATTGAATTCAAATGCTAGGCTCTCTAATCCCAGATCCTGAGTTCTTAACTTCCAGCAATGCTGAAAATTTTGGTTATGCTCTTTATTTGTGGTTGAATTTAGAATAATCACATTTCATGATCTCTTGGAAGGAAAAGAACAATATATATTACTTGTTCACATAATTGCTCTACCTATATTCTTACAGTGAGTTTGCCCTTTATATATGGGTGCAGTTAATATAAGATTACAGCCCCATTCCTACGTAGACTGGCAAAAGCACTCCCACTTTCAAACTCAGATAATCTGTCTTCTTTCTTCATGTCTGATATCTGATTGCAGTGCTTCCCATACTCAAAGCATTTACATGATATCAGCCTTATCTAACATGCTCTGCACTTTCCTCTTTCCTGAGAATTCTTATTATTTTTGTCCCTCTTTGCTCCATGGAAATTGAACATATACTTGCTAAGCTGGATAGGTAAATAGTTAGATTACGAAATTGCTTTGTTTTGTTTGTTTGGAGATGGGGATAGGAGATGGAAAGAAAGAGGAATGAATGGTGGGAATTTTTAGTTCTTTTCAATGCTATTTTAAATAGAAGTTTTGATTCATGGTAGTACTTCCAATGTTCACCTTTTATTCATATTTCTGCCTTAGTACGTACCATGGGCCAGTCTCTTGAGTAAATGTTTAAGTAAATGATTGAGCTATTCCCCGATGCTAAGGTATCTGTTTTTATGTTGTTAAGGTTACAAGAACAGCAAGTCGCCCAATAGCTGCTGGAGACATTTCAACTTTTCAATCCTTTGTTTTTCTTGGGGGACAGCTGACCTTGGCACTGGGTGTTCTTCTGTGTCTGAATTACTACAGGTACAGTATATGTGTTTTTTCATAATCATGTAAAAAATCTTTCCTTTGACATAGAAGTACATATAAAATAAAATAGAAATATCTGTATTACAAAGTTGTTTATTACCTAATCAAGCATCTGTAAAGTTAGCAATGTAAGTAAGTCACCACACAATGTAAAGTCAAGAATGCTTTCAGCCAAAGGAATGAAGAGATCAGTGTTTCGTTTTTTCTGCACCACCTCCAGTACTTGCACTATGTGTTCCCTAAAGGACTCAAGACACTTTTCCTAGGTTTTCTAGGTGCATGCGTGGGAGTGTGTGTATATACCCATTTGTATAATTTTATTTATCCTGGTAGTATCTCTGAAGCGTTAGAGGCAGAAGTGATTATGCTTACTTTGCAAAAAGAGGAACTGGGTCTTTCCCAGAGTCGTATTCCTAATCAATGACAGAAGAAAAAAGAACTCATTCTTATACTTCTTAAACAGAGACAAAATTAGACATTTGTGTACCAGATGGCTGCTTACATAGTGCTTCAATAAGACAAAAAAGAGTTCAGCAAATAAGCATATTTTATAGAGACTAGACTTAATTGTATATCTTGTTCTGATAGCTTCAGTCAAGTGAAAACACTTTGAAAGGTTATTCCTGGAGGGGTAGTGTTAAGTGAGCTGTGAGCTTCCTAAAAACATCTTATCTGACTGTCATCCTTTCATAGGTACTTTGTGACCTTATCCTCTTCTAGAGAAGTAACCCCTTGTGCATATAGGGAGGGATATCTTGACTCGAATTCTCTGTTAGGACATCTCAGTTTACTAGCTATCTTAATGTTTGAAAGCAACATTTAGGCAGCAGCACATGGGGCGTATTATGTTGGATACTGGGGCCAGATGCCTTAGGTTTGCTTCCTGGCCCTGCTACTGACTAGCTGTATAACAATTGGCAAATTACTTTCTCTCTTTGACTTTAGTTTTTTCATCTGCAAAAAAACAAGTAGAATAAAACTACCTGCCTCGTAAGGTTGTGGTGAAGGTTATAATGAATTAACATATGTAGAGCAGTTAAAACAGTCCTAATGGGCTTCCCTGGTGGCGCAGTGGTTGAGAGTCCGCCTGCCGATGCAGGGGACACGGGTTCGTGCCCCGGTCCGGGAAGATCCCATATGCCGCGGAGCAGCTGGGCCTGTGAGCCATGGCCGGTGAGCCTGCGCATCCAGAGCCTGTGCTCCGCAACGGGAGAGGCCACAACACTGAGAGGCCACATACCGCAAAAAAAAAAAAAAAAAAAAAAAACAGTCCTAATACGTGAAAGCAATGTATGTGTTAGCTATTCTTATTTTGTTTCATTGTTTGTAACACTTAAGATATTTTCTAATCACCCTTTATGTTAATTAAAGTCCAGGAATAAACGTCTAGGAAGAGAATTTTACAAAAAATACAATTTAGATAAATCATTTCCTCATTAGTGTTGCTATTATTGCCTTATTTACCGTTTTTTTTTTTTTTTTTGGCGATACGAGGGCCTTTCACTGTTGTGGCCTCTCCTGTTGCGGAGCATAGGCTCCGGATGCGCAGGCTCAGTGGCCATGGCTCACGGGCCCAGCCACACCGTGGCATGTGGGATCCTCCCGGACCAGGGCACGAACCCATGTCCCCTGCATCGGCAGGCGGACTCTCAACCACTGCGCCACCAGGGAAGCTCCTTATTTACCGATTTTTAAGAGATGGTGATATTAATCTTTTTCATGTTTTTTCTTGATTTCAGTATAGCTCTTGGAGCAGCATCCCTACTTCTTGTCATCACCTACCCGCTAATGAAGAGAATTACATACTGGCCTCAGTTAGCCTTGGGTGAGCTTGAAATAACTATAAGTATTTCCTTCAATACCCTCAAGCTATACTTTTATATATAATATCAATCAATGCATGTGTGTGGGGTGTGTGTGTGTGTGTGTGTGTGATGTGGCAGAGATAAAATGTTAAGTCAGTCATGAAATTTTCCAAACCAGGAATAGATTTTCATGTTTTAATGGAGGGCAATTAGCCATTTTTATTGGCTAAAAAATCTTGGACATCTGCTAAGATATCATCATTATTATTTTCTGAAATGCTCTTAAAAATCTAGGTATGTCATGAAGAAAGAAAATTAGCCCCTTGACTTCACCGCTCTCTTTAGGTAGTTGATCTAGATGCCCTGAAGATTTTGGGGATTGGAATAGAAAGCACTCTGAGGCAGGAGAACAAGAGTTGAAGTGTGTGATAGCTTAGCTCCCTTTCTGGGAAGCCTTCCTTAAACTTACCAGAAGAAAGTTAGCCAGTCCCTCCTGGGCTCCCATAGCACTCTAATGTGACACTTACTCGTTTCAACAGCACTAATTCAACAGGAAGATATTGAGAGCCTACCCTCTCTTCCCATTAATAAATTGTAAACACCTAGAAGATAAAGCATTCTTTATATATGGATGGTGCAGCATCTAACATGGTGCTTGGCACATCACAGGTATTCAATAAATATTTGTTGGCAGATAGAGGAAGATAGGTAGGTAAGTCGAAACCTATTGCAAAAATATCTACTCCTAGACTTTTCTGTTCTATTCCTAGAATAGAGTATTAAGAAAACTAGTATTTTTACTTTAAATATTTATTGAAACCCTGACTTTTACTTTGTGCCAGGAATCACACCAGGTACTAGGAAAATAAACATGACTGAAACACATTCATCATCTTGAAGGAGCAAGTCCCTCAGATACCTCAAAGTCAGTGGGTCCCAAACATCTCAGAAACCCTTTTTCTCCTCCTCATTGCCTGTTTCCACTTAGAATCCCTCCTCCTCAGTTGATGAAGTACCTCTCCTCTGTGGCCCCACAGAGCATGCATGTCAGTGTACCTGAGGGACTTGCAGGTGGAGATGTCTAGCAGGCAATTCAGTATCTAGTCTGAAGCTGAGGGAAGTGATTAGGCTTACACATAGATATTTAGGAGTTGTCACCATGTGGAGTTTGTTTACAGTCCTCAGGGTGGACTTGAAGAACAAGTGTTCCTGTCTAACTCTTGTTTCTGTAACTTAAAGGGGAAATAGAGCAATAATGGAAAAAACACAGGAGTTTGACTCAGATAGGTCTAAGTTCAAACTCTAGCATCTAATACTATTTATCATTGGTGCCAGTCGTCATACTAGGTAGGATAAATGTTGTTCTCATGAAACCTCCTATTTATCAGGGAGATATTATTCTTTCTGTTAGCTCTGTTATTTTAATTGTTATTTAACCTTTCTGGTTCTGTTTTCCTTTTTTGTAAAATGTAGCTAATAACTACCACATGAGAGACTTGAGAAAATTTAAGGGAGAAAACAGCATACACAGAGCCTAATACATAGAAGCATTTAATACATGCTGATGCCTCTCTCCTTCCCTTTGGAATTCTAAAGTACATTTAGACTTTTCTCCTCTTTCTGTTTCACTAATTATAGGATTGACTTTTAATTGGGGAGCATTACTTGGATGGTCTGCTGTCAAGGGCTCCTGTGATCCATCTGTTTGCCTTCCTCTTTATTTTTCTGGAATTATGTGGACTCTAATATACGATACTATCTATGCTCATCAGGTAAAGAAATATTCTTTTTCATAACTTTGGCTTAACTGTTATTATTTTTTAAGAACTTTAAAAATAAGTACTAAATTAAAGGGAAAGTTTTTTTTCTTTAGGCTTTTAAAAAAAATTGAAGTAACATTATATGTGTCATGTGTACAACATTATATTTCGACTTCTGTATACACTACAGCATACTCAGCATCAAAAGTTTAGTTTCCATCCATCACCATACCATTGACCCCCTTTACCCATTTTGCCCTCCCCCTTCCCCTTTCCCCTCTGGTTACCCCTAATCTATTCTGTGTATCTATGTGTTAGTTTTATTTTGTTTGTTCGTTTATTTCTCTCTTTCTTTTAATATTCCACACATAAGTGAAATCATAGTGGTATTTGTCTTTTTCTGTCTGACTTACTTTACTTAGCATAATACCCTCAAGATCCATCTATGTTGTTGCAGTTGGCAAGATTTTATCTTCTTATGGCTGAGTAGTATTCCACTGTATGTATATACCACATGTTTATCCATCCATCTGTTGATGGGCACTCACATTGTTTCCATATCTTGGCTTGTAAATAACACTGCAGTGAACATTGGGGTACATATATATCTTTTTGAATTAGTGTCTTTGTTTTCTTCAGGTAAATATCCAGAAGTGGAATAGCTGGACCATATGGTAGTTCTATTCTTAACTTTTTGAGGAATCTCCTTACTGTTATTCCGTATTTATATTCCCACCAACAGTGCACAAGGGCTCCTCTTTCTCCACATCCTTGTCAACACTAGTTATATTCCTGTCTTTTAGATAGCCATTCTAACAAGCATGAGATGATATCTCATCGTGGTTTTGGTTCGCATTTCCCTATTAATTAGTGATGTTGAACATCTTTTCACGTGCCTATTGGCCATCTGTATGTCTTCCTTAGAAAATTTCTTCAGGGCATTCTATTCATATCCTCTGCCCATTTTTTAATTGGGTTATTTGTTTTTTGGTTGATGAGTTCTTTATATATTCTGGATATTAACACCTTACCGGATATATGATTTGCCAGTATCTTCTCCCATGTGGTAGATTGTCTTTTCATTTTATTGATGGTTTCCTTTGCTGTGCAGAAGCTTTTTAGTTTGTTGTAGGCTCATTTATTTATTTCTGCTTTTGTTTCCCTTACCTGCGGAGACATATCCAGAAAGATATTGCTAAGACTGATGTCAGGGAGTGTACTGCCTATGTTTTCTTCTGGGAATTTTGTGGTTTCAAGTCTTACATTCAAGTCTTTAATCCTTTTTTTGTGTGTGTGTGGTACACGGGCCTCTCACTGCTGTGGCCTCTCCCGTTGCGGAGCACAGGCTCCGGACGCGCAGGCCCAGCGGCCATGGCCCATGGGCCCAGCCGCTCTGCGGCACATGGGATCCTCCCGGACCGGGGCACAAACCTGCATCCCCTGCATCGGCAGGCGGACTCCCAACCACTGCGCCACCAGGGAAGCCCCTTTAATCCATTTTGAGTTAATTTTTATGTATGGTATAAGATAGTGGTCTAGTTTCATTTTTTGCATGTGGCTGTCCAGTTTTCCCAGCACCGTTTGTTGAAGAGACTGTCCTTTTTCCATTTTATGTTCTTTGCTCCTTTGTTGTAAATTAATTGTTCATATATGGGTGGGCTTATTTCTGGGCTCTCAATTCTGTTTCCAATGATCTGTGTGTGTCTGTTTTTCTGCCAATACCATGCTGTTTTGATAACGATAGCTTTGTAGTATAATTTGAAATCAGGAAGTATGATACCTCCAGCTTTGTTGTTTTTTCTCAAGATTGCTTTGGTTTTTCAGGGTCTTTTGTGGTTCCATACAAATTTTAGGATTTTTTTGTTCTATTCCTGTGAAAAATGTTGTTGGTATTTTGATAGGGATTGTATTGAATCTGTAGATTGCTTTAGGCAGTATGGATATTTTAATAATTTTAATTCTTCAAATCCAAGAGCACGGAATATCTTTCCATTTGTCTTCTTCATTTCTTTTAACAATGTCTCATAGTTTTCAGAGTACAGGTCTTTCACCTCCATGGTTAAATTTATTCCTAGGTATTTTGCTGTTGTTGTTGTGATTGTAAATGAGATTATTTTCTTAATTTCTCTCTCTTTGAGCTCACTTTTAGTATATAGAAACACAACAGATTTTTGTATATTGATCTTGTACCCTACAGCTTTACTGTATGTGTTTATAATTTCTAATAGGTTTTTGGTGGCCACTTTAGGGTTTTCTGTATATAAAACCATGTCACCTGCAAATAGTGATTGTTTTTCTTCTTCCTTTACAATTTGGGTGTCTTTTATTTCTTTTTCTTGCCTAATTGCTCTAGCTGAGAATTCCAATACTATGTTGAATGAAAGTGGCAAGAGTGGGCATCCTCATCTTGTTTCTGATCTTAGAAGGACAGCTTTCAGTTTTTCACCATTGAGTATGTTTGCTTTGGGTTTGTCATATATGGCCTTTATTATGTTGAGGTACATTCCCTCTGTACCCACTTTGCATGCAGCCTCTGATGTCACATGACTGTGATTACAACATTATATGGAAATGCTTACAAATAAAGTTGCTGGAGGAGACCAGTCAGCCAGATGTGAGTGTATCATCAGGACCTAGCTCTACTTAAACAGGAAGGATTTGATGGGAGAGGCAAGGAATAAACTGAGCCAGAAGTGAAATCTGAATGGATGTGGTTAGGTGGCAAGTGAGCATTTTTCCACATGTGTGATTTTAGCAAGATTGAAACTAAAATGTATAAGAAATTATTGAGATTTGAAAACTCTGAAGTAAAGAAGAGCTATGTGAAGAATTAGAGTCTGACTTCTAATTTATTAGTAAAAGTATAGTTGAAAGTCAGTATAGGGTCATAAAAGTACGATGATATGTAGAAATAGGTCTGGAAGATAATTTTAGCAGTAACATTTAACTTTGATTTGGCCTGCACATTCATTTTTGATCAACTGTTTCTGAGTTACTGTCATGTTCTTTAAAAGACAGTTTCTCCTGGAATTAGATGGTAGTGATGGTTGCACAACCTTGTGAATATACTAAAACCACTGAATTACATACTTCAAAATGGTAAACTTTATGATATGTGAATTAAATCTCAGTAAAATCCAGGCAATTTCTTACTACTTTCTCATGTTAGGACAAGAGAGATGATGCTCTGATCGGGCTTAAGTCCACGGCACTGCTGTTCCGTGAAGATACCAAGCAGTGGCTCAGTGGCTTCACTGTGGCGATGCTGGGGGCACTGAGCCTGGTGGGAGTGAACATTGGTCAAACTGTGCCCTACTACACTGCTCTGGCTGCTGTAGGGGCCCATCTGGCTCACCAGGTTTGATCTTTTCCATATCTTTCCCTCTTTTTTCTTTGGTGTAAATTATAAAAATTATTTAAACAGGGCTTCCCTGGTGGCGCAGTGGTTGACAGTCCGCCTGCCGAGGCAGGGGACACGGGTTCGTGCCCCGGTCCAGGAAGATCCCACATGCCGCGGAGCAGCTGGGCCTGTGAGCCATGGCCGCTGAGCCTGCGCGTCCGGAGCCTGTGCTCCGCAACGGGAGAGGCCCTCATACTGCAAAAAAAAAGAAAACCACTCCCCCCCCCAAAAAGAAAACTATTTAAACAAAATGCCCTCTGTGTTTACCAAGCAAGTTAATTCCTTAAACAACTACTTGGCTTGTACTGCCTTGAACTGCCCCAATATGTCATATAAGAAAGCTAGCTGTATTATTTTAGAGAAATAATGTAAACCTAAACCTAGATATTTTTTTTCCTTCTAATTTTCCTAGAATTATTTCTGATGTGTGTCTAGAGAAATTTGAGCAATGTCTTAAGGTTGTGGGTTGAGTTGAATTACTCTGAAAGCAAACTGGTCAACACAACTGTATTGTTTAAATGTGGGCATCTATTGATGGTTAGCAAACTAATCATTCATATGTTTGAGTCACACTGGCACAGGGGCCAAGGCAAGATAAGACACAAAATGGGAAGATGTCAGAGTTCTGCCTACACAGTAGGAAACTGCCAGGATGTTCACCCAGCACCTCAGCCCCACTTGTTTATATGGCAGGTCTACATCACTGACTTCTGTAAAATGAATAAACTAAGTAGAATTTAATTAAATAGGTTGCTTGTAAATGGACTGTATTTTTGCATCAGTATTACTGTTATTTTCTTTGGACAAAATCGAGAAGATGCTAGTAAGCCTGTATTTAGATGATCTATTTTATACAGATCGGTGCATGTGTAAGCAGGACTTGCATAACATGGTATGAAGGAAACTAAAATCTGATGTCCATAAAGTAAACCACATACTATATCACCTTCATTGTTTTCCTCACCAGGAAAGCTAAAAGGTTTGAATTAGTGATTCTCCACATTTCACCATTTTCCTCTTCAGAATTTCTCAGCATCTCCTTTTGGTCATTACTCAGCTCCACGGGAGTTGTTATCATCAGTTGATTGTCTGGTTAGGATAATGGATGCTTAGCAATATTTAAGCGCCTGGATATTAACAGAGGAAGGCAAAAATTATGGGGATAATCACAAATATAGGAAATATTTGGAACCCACTTTATATTCTGAATTGCCTTTGTGGTCCTCTGCCTAGTCCTTGACACGGTACTTTAAGATGGACATAGTCTTCTAGTATTTGGAGAAAGGAAATCATGATAATTTTAAGCCTGCAGGTCACATAATAAAGAATAGTTGAGGGCTTCCGATGCTTAAGTCCAGGGAAGCGTAAAATAGGGACATGAGACTTTCTCAATATATTTGCAGGACAACTGTGGAGAAAAGAGAGTATGTTTGGTCGCTACCTGCAGATCTAGGATTTTAGGTGCCCTTCTCTATGTGGGGATGGGAGGGAGATTTTAACATCTATGGGGGTATTTTGGGGTATCATAAATAGACTGGGGAGGGACCACTACAGGCATTTAGTGAGCGAGGGCCAGGTACATTAAATATCTCTTGATGCAGTAGACAGCCCTGCACGGTAGAGAGTTGTCCTGCCCAAATGTAACTTGTTCCTCTGTTGAGAAACATTGCTCTGAAGAATAGAGCTAAACTGGAGGGTAGGAGTTATAGAGAGCAGATTTTAGATCAATCAGTTTAAGGAAGAACTTTCAAAATAGAATTAAAAATAGCATGCGTTGCCTCTCAGAGTGTTCGTGCACCCGTCAAGTGCAAGTTTTTAGCTTAGATGATATCCATTGAGAGATATGGTAGATTTTTTCTGCATTGGAAAACAATCTGGGGTATATTAAAGGCTTCCCATTGCTTAAAATTCTATAACAAAGTGCTGTTATCTTCTTCACATTGATGTGTTTATTTGTGATGCCTGGAAGTCCATACTGTGTTCTAACATGGCATGTATTCTTTTCTTATAGATTTACACTCTGGACATCCACAGACCTGAGGATTGTTGGGATAAATTCACCTCCAACCGAACAATAGGACTAATAATTTTTTTAGGAATTGTCCTTGGGAATTTGTGGAAAGAAAAGGAGACAGATAAAACAAAGAAAAATATAGATAATAGAGTAGAAAATTAGCAAATTAAGTTTATCTGGGGATTTTTAAAACAAACTTTTACAAAATACTCTCAGGTCTTATTACCACATAACTAGATTTGAATAACAGTCTTACAATATGTTAATGAATTACAAACCAGTAGATGAAGTTGTAGAGCATTTTTGCCTGGATTTTAGTTCAACTATGTACTAGTCAAATTCTTCCCCATCACAGAAACCAGGAACTCTTCAGGATTTGCGATCACCTGGAGTATTTAAGTTATAATTCTCATCTGCAGTTACAGGAATTATATGAGTTTTGGCACTTTAGAAGAAAACTTGATGTGTGTCTCATCAAAATGACTGTCTTTGTAGGAAAATGGACTCTCTTTTTAGGGCAAAATAAAAGCTGCTACAGGAAGTTGAGGCTTATTGTTCTTTGCGTTGACCTTTACTTACTGCCAAAAGCTGTAATTCAGGAAACCGTTCTGTTTTTTATATTTTAGGAGAATTTAAATCAGTAAATAAAATTTTTTACCTGTTGTACCTGTACATACTGCTGTTTGTTACCAACCCTGACATTTATTTGAGAGGTCTCTGTATACAACCATAGTGACCAGAATGGGCAGACAGTCACTAATGATGATTTTAATTTCTATTTATTTATTTTTTATCTCAGGTGATTGTAATTGATAGGATAGCGGTATGTTGGCTAGGTGTAGTAACTGTTTTTTCCTTACCCCCTTCAGAATATTCTCAACACAGCAGCCACAATGATTTTCTTAAAACCTCTATAAGGTCATGTCATTCTTCTTCTCAGAACCCTCCAGGATCTTCCCAGGTCACTCAGTACAAGCTAAAAGTCTTGTCACCTGCTAGGCCCACCATGATCTGGCCTTGTCTGTGGCTCCTCCACTCACACCCCTCTGCAGCCCTGCTGGCCTCCACACTGCGCCTCAACAGGCTGGACAGACTCAACCGAGGGCCTTTACATGTACAATTTCCTTTGCCTACAGTGCTCTCCTTGAATTATGTCTTAGTCCTTCACTGCAGGTCTTTTCCTAAATGTCACCTTCTCAAAGAGGGTTTTCTTAGCCATTGTTTCTAAAATTTCATTTACAGGGGCTTCCCTGGTGGTACAGTGGTTAGGAATCTGCCTGCCAATGCAGGGGACATGGATTCCAGCCCTGGTCCGGGAAGATCCCACATGCTGCGGGGCAACTAAGCCCGTGCACCACAACTACTGAGCCTGCGCTCTAGAGCCCGGGAGCCACAACTACTAAGCCTGCACTCTAGAGCCCGCGAGCCACAACTACTGAAGCCCACGCGCCTAGAGCCTGTGCTCTGCAACAAGAGAAGCCACTGCAGTGAGAAGCCCGCGCACCATCACGAAGAGTAGCTCCCGCTCGCCGCAACTAGAGAAAGCCCACGCGCAGCAACGAAGACCCAATGCAGCCCAAAATAAATAAATTTTAAAAAATAAATAAAATATATTGAAAAAATTCATTTACAGATACTACCTACACTACCTATATTATTGGGTTTTTTTTTTCTCTTCACAACTTACAACTCTCAACCTAAAATATGTCTTACTTGATTTAAGTGGCTGTCATGAACAGTGGGGTGTAGTGTGTTTACTGCTGCCCACAATGGAGATGGGTTATGGGCAGCAGTAAACACAAAATTGCTCAATGATGGTAGTGAGGATGATGTGATGCAGCTGACACAGAGCACTTACACATGCCAGGCACAGATAAATGAGCATAGGAAAATGTATTTAACTGCTTATTCGGCAAACACTAAACCACTGAGTGTGAGTGTTTAGACTTCGGACAGTAGTAGCAGCTGTAATTGTACTCTGCTATAGCAGCAATGAGTTGAAGAGGAGAAGAAATAGAAACTTTGTACCCTATTTTTAGGGAAATACATTTGGTCACTATTTTATCTAATCCTGACACTGTACCAGGATACATAAAATTTAAATCTTTGTTGATTTCTGTTTTCTTACAAATATCATCCAACCCCACCCCCCCGAAAAGATTTACTTAGCAAAATTTACACAATTTTTCTAGAAAATATAGTAATAATAAAAAATAGGGAGTTTAAACAGATGGGGGATATCTTCAACAATGAATGAAGTGAGAACCAGGAAAAAAAAATTGGGCTTAGAAAAGGGTTATGCCTCTTAAAAATATACCACTTCTCATAGCAGAAAAATGTTGATCTCTAAATGCCTTTTTTGCAGGTGTAAGGTCTGGAAGAATTTTGACCAGGATAAGTGGCAGAGGAGAAGATCCAAAAGGAATCTGTTTTTCCCTTATACAGCAGAAACCAACACAACATTGTAAAGCAATTATACTCCAATAAAGATATTAAAAAAAATTATCTTGCTCTCAAAAAGCTGCTTAAGCTTAATTGAATTGTTTTAGTTCCTTTTCATTTCTCCCCGCCAGGTAGAAAGGCTGAGAAAGTAATATAAATGGGTAAGGGGCAGTTAAGGGGGAAAAACTGAAATAGATTATTTGCTTCTAAAATCACAGACTTTAAGCAATTCAGGGTTGGAAAGAAGTACATCCATCATCTGTCTGGTATCAGGGTTGTCTATCTCCTGTGTAGTCATGACAGGAATTATAACAAGATAAGTGAAACTACCACTCTTGTCTTGGGAAATTTGATCAATGGAGTGGGCCCTTGCCCTAGTTTTCTGCTGTAGAGTCACCGTGAGGTTGTAAAGAGCAAGGGTGTGAAAGAACTTTGTAAGCTGAACACTTACCTAATATAAGTTTATGGTGAGGTTGGAGGTAGGGTGGAAGCTATAGGAAATTTGGCTTGCTGTCTGAAAATTGCATCACAAGCGCTGCCTCTCCTGCTTCCTGAACTTTGCTGAATTGCTTTATACCTCTTGCAGGTTGTAAAGGCCTCCACAGTTAGGCCCTACCATTTTCCCCAAATCAAGATACACTCTCGCCCTTGGGCTGGTCTCTTCACTGTCAGCACTTCTGCTGTCAAGCTAGCAGCTGGTAGGATGACTAGGACCTGGCCTTCAGGGCAAACAGGCCTGTGTGAGAATTCTCCCTGTAATACTTGCCAGCGGGAGACCTCAGACCAGTGATGAACCTCCCTCACAGCCACCACCTCATCTGCCAAGCCTGAGCTGTTGTGAACATTAAACAGAGTTGGTATATGTTAAAGCCTGTGATGGGCTGAATTGTATTGCCCTGAAATTCATATAGTGAAGTCCTAGCCCCCAGTAACTCAGAATGTAACCATATTTGGTGATAAGGTCTTTAAAGAGGTTATTAAGTTAAAATGAGGTCATTAGGGTGCACCCTAAACCATTACATGTCCTTACAAGAGGAAATTTGGACACACAAAGAGACACTTGTACACAGAGAGATGACTGTGTGAATGCACAGGGAGAATACTGCCATCTACAAGCCAAGGAAAGAGGCTTCAGAAGAAACCAACCCTTCCAACACCTTGATCTCAGAATTCTGGCCTACAGAACAGTGAGAATATGAATGTGTTTTTTAACCACTCTGTCTGTGGTGTTTTGTTATGGCAGCCCAAGCAAACTTAATATGAAGCTGTACTGTAGTACTGAACTGCGCAGAAAAGATACTCTACCAATGCAGTTTACTAGAAAGTGCTCCCTTTTCCACCCCAACTCTGCTTTTTTGTCTCAAAGCACAAGTTCTAGCCCTTACAGTGTTCATAACAGTGGTAGGCTGAATACAACCTTCCAAAGATGTCCATGTCCTAATGCCAGAGCCAGCAAATATATTTCCTTATATGGAAAGGGGCTTTGCAGATGTAATTGAGAAGGACCTTGAGAAAGGGAGATTATCCTGGTTTATCTGGGTGGGTGCAGTGTAATCACAAAGATCTTTACAAGAGGGAGGAAAGAAGGTCAAAGTCCGTAGTAGCAGATGTGATGATAGAAGCAACAGGTTAGAGTGACGCAAGAAAGGGTTTGCAAGCCAAGAAACACAGGTGGCCTTTAGAAGCTGAAAAAGACAAGGACACAGATTCTCCCCTCTGAGCCCCTAGAGGGAACCAGCCCTGCTGACACCTTGACTTTAGCCCAGTGAGACTGAGTTTGGACTTCTGACCTCCAGAATTGCAAGATCATAAATTTGTGTGGTTTTAAGTCACTAAATTTGTGGTAATTTGTTGCAACATCAACAAGGAAACTAAAACAACTATTTGAGCTCTATTGAGCTGTCCTCTGAACCGCCAGAGCTCTTCATTGGCACCAGTAGAGCAGTGGTTAAGAATGCAAGTCCAGGTGACAGCTTGCCTGGGTTTGAATCTCTCTTTTAACACCTGCCAGTTACCTGATCTCCCTGTGGTTCTGTTTCTCAAATGGGGCTAATAATAGTACCCTTCTCGTGGATTTAAAAATGATCTGTCTCAGGCTTCCCTGGTGGTGCAGTGGTTGAGAGTCTGCCTGCCAATGCAGGGGGCACAGGTTTGTGCCCCGGTCCGGGAAGATCCCACATGCCGCGGAGTGGCTGGGCCCGTGAGCCATGGCCGCTGAGCCTGTGTGTCCGGAGCCTGTGCTCCGCAATGGGAGAGACCACGACAGTGAGAGGCCCGCGTACAGAAAAAAAATAAAATAAAATAAAGAATGAGTTTACGTCTCTGACATAACATAATAAATACTCAATGAATATTTTAAATAAATTCACTTGAAAACAAGAAAGTTTTTTTTGGCTGTGCAGCTTGTTCTTAGTTCTCTGACCAGGGATTGAACCCAGGCCCTCGGCAGTGAAAGCACGGAGTCCTAACCACTGGACCGCCAGGGAATTCCTGAAAACAATAAAGTTTTTAACACAAATTAATTAATTACTAACTGAAAATTGTTAAGATCTCATGATGTGCAAAAGAAAGTAGGAAAAAGGTATGCAGTTTCATAATTTCTCCCCATCCCTGCCTTCGGGTTTCTGAGTGCCTCGGTTTTATTCCTGGCTGGTGTTTATTGTGTGTACAGGTAGGCCCTCCTTCAGAGTCAGATGTGAATGAAATTACAGTAACAGGTGCGGATGTGCTCCAGCAGGAAGGAACAGCAAGTGCGAAGCCCGGAAATAGGGACAAACCAAGCAGATTCAAGGAACAACAAGGTCAGATTTCTTATTTATTTCCAGAGCCATGCTGCATTTTAACACATGGCGGTGAGGCTGCTGCTAGAAGGTGCAAACGGTGTCACCACTTTTGAAAAGAGTGTGGCAGTTTCTTAGAGTTAATTCTGCCTTTACCAATTGACCCAGCAATCCCATGCCTAGGCATTTACCCAAGAGAAAAGGGAGCAGGTTCACACAAAAACCTGCACATGAATGTTTACAGTAGCTCAATTTATAATCACCCCAAACTGGAAAAAAACCCAAATGTCCTTCAACTGATAAAGGGTAAATAATCTGTGGCACATATATATGATGGAACACTACTCAGCAGTAAAAAGGAACAAATTACTGATCGAGGCAGCCACGTGCATGGGTCTCAAACGCATTATACCAAGTGAAAGAAACCAGACTCCAAAAGCA